CCACACGGCGGCGTTCCCGTAATTCCCCCGGAGAAATCGGGAAACCACCCAGGCCAGAGGAATCTGGGAAAAAAAATTGGATTAATGGGATTAATGGGGTTATTGGGGTCATGGGGATCAATGGGATCAATAATGGGATCAATAATGGGATCAATAATGGGATCAATGGGATCAGTGACATCCACACGGCGGCGTTCCCGTAATTCCCCCGGAGAAACCGGGAAACGACGCAGGCCAGAGGAATCTGGGAATGGAAATGGGATTAATGGGATTAATGGGATTGGAATGGGAACAGGATCAGTGGGGTCAATGGGATCAATGGGATCAATGGAATCAATGGGGTCAGCGACATCCACACGGCGGCGTTCCTGTAATTCCCCCGGAGAAATCGGGACACCACCCAGGCCAGAGGAATCTGGGAAAAGAAATGGGATCAACGGGATTAATGGGATTAATGGGATCATTGGGATCAATGGGATCAATAAAGGGATCAATGGGATCAATGGGATCAGTGACATCCACACGGCGGCATTCCCATAATTCCCCTGGAGAAATCAGGACACCACCCAGGCCAGCGGGATCTGGGAAAAGAAATGGGATTAACGGGATTAATGGGGTTATTGGGGTCATTGGGATCAATGGGATCAATGGGATCAGCAACATCCACACCGCGGCGTTCCCGTAATTCCCCCGGAGAAATCGAGACATGACCCAGGCCAGAGGGATCTGGGAATGGAAATGGGATTAATGGGATTGGAATGGGAACAGGATCAATGGGATCAATGGGGTCAATGGGATCAATGGAATCAATGGGGTCAATGAGGTCATTAATAGGATCAATGGGATCATTGGGGCCAATAGGGTCAATGCAATCAATGCGATCATTGGGATCATTGGGATCAGTAATGGGATCATTGGGATCAATGGAATCAATGCAATCATTAATGAGATCAATGGGATCAATGGGATCAATGGGATCAATGGGATCAATGGGGTCAATGGGATCAATGGGGTGAATGCGATCAATGGGATCATTGGGATCAATGGGATCAATGGGGTCATTGGGATCAATGGGATCAATGGGATCAGAGACATCCACACGGCAGCGTTCCCATAATTCCCCTGCAAGAAACGAGACACGACCCAGGGCAGAGGAATCTGGGAATGGGGACAGAAATGGGATTAATGGGATCAGACATTTGGGAATGGGATTAATGGGATCAATGGGATCAGTGACATCCACAGAGCTGCGTTCTCATAATTCCCCTGTAACAAATGAGACATGACCCACGCCAGCGGGATCTGGGCACGGAAACAGGAATGGGATTATCGGGATTATTGGGGTCAATGGGATCAATGGGATCAGCGAGATCCATATGGCCGTGTGGATTCCTGTGA